ATAACTAAATACAAAAGAAAGACTCCGTGTTTAAGGTTTTCAGAAGATACAAATTAATCACTTTAATATTTCACACCAAATATGTATTATTGAAGGACCTTACCATAGATGAACATGTTTGGGCATATGTAATACACAGCTGTTATCTTTCCTCTTCCAGCCAATAGAAGCTGAAGTGAGGTAGAATGAATCCAAAGGTCAGAAGTCGCGGTCACAACACCTGCAGAGACGATGTTCACATTGAAAGTTCACCAAAGCTGAACTTTACAGAAATTCAAAGACGTGTTTTCTCCGGCGCTGGAACTGAACGTTTCTCTGCCCGTTGGCTCACATAGAGTGAAAGTAAACGATGTGTAACCATGAAATCATAGTCTGAAAATGGTTTGTTAAAAAGCTGCTCTGACACTAATAATTTAAGTTTCTGCGTTTCGGTATTTAAGTACAAAACTCTGGGTGAACATACAGAATATATTATAAATATTCTGTTCCAAACCATTTCAGCACATTTTGTTTTTTGGCCAAAGTGACGGTCTCCCAGAGGCCGTCTGCTAAAGAGCCGCTGGTTTTATATAATAATCATCCGACCACTGGAACCTGTGATTCACCCTCATATTCCTTCTCTCACAGCAGGCCGATGAATCACATTAAAAACCTCAACATGTACACTAAGTGTTAGCTGAGTAGAGAGCGAGCAGGCTTCTCAGTCAGCGAAACAAATGTGAGGGAAATGTTTTGCATGAGGTCATCCGTCTGTGTGCTCCATGTCGTGGTGTTTCTTATGTCGGGTGAGAGCTGGAGGACTGGGGCCAAAACCAGAACATCAGCCAGTCAGCACTGGATTGATATGGAAAGACCATCTGGAAACCATTTGGCAATCTGATACTAAATATGGGGTTCAACCTTTTAATAGATGGTTAGGAGAGGAACATCTCCTTGACCCCTTGAGGGACGTAAATACACAGACCGTGCATGTGTGCGTGCGTGCGTGCGTGTGTGCGTGCGTGCGAACGCGCACACACACACACACACACACACACACACACACACACACGGCCCACATGCATGTGGCAGTGATCTGGAAGCCTAATTATCTGAGGATGTGGGTAGAGGGAAGGGGAGGGTGAAATTGGACCTGAGTTTCTTCTGATTGAGGGGAAATGGGAAACAGGCTGGAACCAATGTTACCCTTTAGCCTTAAACACACACACACACACACACACACACTCAGCTGAATGATGGTTACTGGATCAGTGATGAAATATCTCTCAGTTGGCCCACTGCTTGGTGCACATGAATCCCCTGTGATCATGGCCTCCAGTCCCTGGATGCCAATATCCGTTGGTCCAAAAGGAAAGTGAGTTTGGAGGCTGTGGTTGCAGAATGAATCACTGGCTCATCTGATTTGGATTACTCACTCTTGCCTTTCTTTTCTTTCTGTGCATTCTCAAATCGCTCAGATGACTAGTTTAATAAGCCAGATCCTAAACCTTCTAAAGAATGTAGGAGCTGACACTTTTATCTGGACAAATCACAAGTACAACCAATAAGGAGATAGAGGACGGACCTTAAATGCTTTGAGATCCAACCGAGCAAGGATCCATCGTGCCGAAGTGTCATCAAGTTTTACAGTGATGCCCGCCGGCACCAGGCATGTTGTTCTGCAGCCGGCCTGTGAAGGTACAATGTCATTAGAACGGAGAACACAACCACCTGTAGCAGACCAAAGCATACAAAAGACAAGAGAACAACTAATAGTAATAACTGACAACCATGCATAGTGTACAGCTTAACAGATAAGAATAGCCATCACATAACAGGGCTTGGAGTTGGACGACAATACAGAATCCAACGGCTGCAGGGATTGAACTAGAGATGCTCAGCTGCAACCGAACACATCTTTAAATGGCGCCCTTATGGAGGTAATGTGCCCCTTTGGAGTGATGCCGCTCATACGGATAGATTCAGTATGACAAAACATATATCATTAGCCAACAATGAGGTCAACATCCAGTTTGGTAAATACGAGTGTCTCCAGCAGGACGGCCATGAACTCCAGTAAAACCCTGATGTAATGTATGTGGTCTGTTCATCCAGATTAAAAGAGTGCCGTGTGCAGAGATTCTGGTTTGTGGGTGATCCGCAGGTCTCACTTCCTTCCAGGGACGAGGAGCTTCAGGACCCCCCGTCTGTAACCTCAAGTATGCTCCTTGAGGATTCAGGGAAGCCGGTGGGAACGTAGACAAATCCCAGGCTTAGCGCTCTCCACATAAAACAAAGCCCTGTTCCCAGTGGACGGGCTGAGTAATCCTGGTAAACCAGGCTGAGGACGGGTTTGCTTCCAGGCATGGACCCCTAAATCTCACCCTGTCACCAGCTGTGAGACGTCCACATGTTCCACCTCTCTAATGCTTCCTGTCACAAACAGGCTACTTCAATGTGCTCTTGAGACGCCATTCTTGAGCTTAAAAATATAATTCATCCATCAAGCCGGCGACAGTAACACAAGAGCACCACCACACTCGGCTGTTGGCCTCTCGGCTGTTGGCCTCTCAGCCTCTTAGCGCTGTGAGAAGATGTTTGTACTTCATTCACTCCCCGTGATGCCGACTGACTTTTCCCAGTTACTCCCAGCAACCAGCTGTCAGTCACGCGTGATTGTCAGACGGGAGCTCTTTATCGGTTTGTATAGCCGAGGGTCTACATGGGTTCTCCTTTATGACCACACAGGGTCAAATAATGCCTTTCAGTCCGTGGTGCCGGCCAACATTTAATTGGCTTTTATTGATTTTGGTAAAGTCTGGCTGTCGCTTAATGTTGTAAAGGTCTTTGTTGTCCGTCTGTTCCCAATTCAACAGAACGTGTAGATGCGAGTTTGAATAGCGAGCTGTCGAGTGAAAGCCTTCGAGCGTCAGAGGAACTTCTTTTTAGCTTGTTGACAATCGTTGTGTTTGGGTTCATCTGTACCCTCAGAGGAAGCATGTCTTCAATTAGACAAAGGGTATATAGGGTTGTCACATAGAACATGTTCGGCTGAACCAGGTTCACGGACTCTGAGAAGCTTTCTGAGCCGTTCACACAACAGGAATCTCTAACAGTCAAAAGGTTTAGATTCCAAATGACTGCACAACTTCTTCTGTGGTGTTCCTCAAGGTCTCGGTGTCTTAATGTTTGGAGAACAAAATGTATTTTTTAATCAAATGTTATCAACCTATGAGACATGGATGATATACTTCCATCAGAATGTTCTCAGCACTTTAACTTTGACTTATGACCAAAGCAACTTGACACGAAATGTAATCTTCAGCTGTCAGCTGATGTTCTACCATATGGATCCAAATCTTATTTAAATGTGTAAATAATACGTATATTAATGAATCTAAGAGACGTGGAGAGTTCAGAACAGGAGCTCTGAATCAAGCAGCATAAAGGACTCGTTCTTATAAACTACTAAACACTTGAGAGCAGCTAGCACACTGTATGAAGCTAAAGGCCTGAGGCTAAGCTACTATGCTAAGTTAGCATAGTCAACACACTAAACACACGTTCACTTCAATCACCAACACATTACAAACAGACTCTTCTCACATTGTAGATGTTGGTTGTCTCCTGAGCTCCATGTTACCTGCTGGTCATGTGTCCAAACCACCAAACAGGAAGTGACATCATCCAATGGGCTCCATAGCAGTGGAGAAGTTCCTTTATTGATTATAGAAGAACTTCTAGTGTTAACACGTCTCCTTCAGGAACGTTGATATAATAATGAGACTGTTGTAGATATAGATGTCTTTCTGTCTCTTCAGAGATTAACAAACTGTTTAAAGGCTGCTCCTCATTTCTCTATTCAGTGTCTCCTCGTCTCCTCTGTCCTCCTGTCTGTAAGGAAGCGCTGAAGGACGTTTCACTTCCTAAAATGCATCTGGAGGAGAGGAGAGAGGAGACATGAAACAGAAGACAGGAGAGAGAAGTGAGGAGAGGAGACAGGAGAGAGTTTGTTGTATCAAAGAAAAAGTTGAACATTTTTATTCTCATTTGATGAAACAACGAACAGCTGATTCAGTATCTCATTTCTTTAAATGTCCGTCGCCTCGACTCCTCTCTCCTTCTCTAGCGTCTCAGGTGGGAGGGACTTAGACGCAAGGAGCAGTCGAGGAAAGGAATCGAGGACGCACAGACTGAGGAATGAGAAACACGTACTGAAAACCAGCTGTTTTAATTGTACGTGAGTGTAAACAGATGTTTGTGTCGCACAAGAAGAATTATTTCAATTGTACACTTAAGAACGTTTTTTATAAAGTATGGTTTTATGACAGCATGAACAGAGACAAACAGGCTCACAGCGCCACCTACTGACGACTTCCAGTGCTACAATATAACTATTAAAGTTTAGTTTCGAACAATCTGCTTCTGCACTTTATTAAAGCGTTATTGTCACATTTCTTGCCATAATATCAGAATGTTATCTGAATGCATTTCACAGAACTGGAAGTTTTAACATCCAGTGAGTGACTGTTTCCTCCGTCCTCGTCTCTCACTAGGAGCTAGGAGACGAGGAGACACGTCAGTTGTTCCTTTAACCCTGTGAACCACTGAGCTGTTTCTGCTCCGTCACATTGTTCTCTCTGTAACATAAAGTCCTGCTGCTCTACAGAACCATGAGGACTAGAACATGAACACGTCTGTAGTGCACAACAGTTATGACATCACCACCAAGAAGAAAGAAAACAAGTTCAATTTCTTTGATAATTAATTTTACAAATATTGGCAAAAAATTTAATCTATAAATCCAACATTGTTCCAAGTGTTGGAAAAATAAAATGGAGTCTCCACGTTTTATATATTGAACTAATCCCATGTTTCCAGCCTCTCCTCTCCTCTCTGTGTTCACTTCCTGTAGTTCAGTCAGAGTGTCTCCTCCTTGTTGTCACATGACTGTTGGTCTCAGATGAATCAATCATGACGTCATAGTTTCACAATGTAATGTTTAACACACTCTGGTTAAAGTGAACTCTTTATTAGAGGAGACATTTATAATGAGAACATGTAGAAGAAAATGTTTTTGACGATTGACAATTCTAAGCATTCGTCTCACATGATGTGTTCAAGGACCGTCAGTGATAAACGGTGTCGTTTTGGGCGATCGTTTATAGAAAAACATGCTTTTCCATCCCGCCGGCGTGTTCTGGGGTTCAGAGGGTTTAGCGTCCTCATAGGACCAGATGTTCACAAACACCTAAATGTCTTCTCGACAGACTGTGTGGCTCCACAGGTCACACTCCTCTGTGCTGCCATCTTGTTTCTCAGCTCCGGTCTGTGTGAGAGGTTTTCTACCTAAAGAGAAGAATCAAAGTTCAAGTTAGTGACTAAGAGCATCAGGAGTCCAACACTATTTGTATGTTTCCACATTTCATAGTCTTGATTTCCTCTTCAGAATAAAAGCCCTGCTCCTCCATAGAAACAGAACCACGATGACTAGAAGTAGAACATGAACACGTCTGTAGTGCACAACAACAGTTATGATGACATCATCACTAAGAAGAAAGAAAACATGAATTTCTTTGATAATTTATTTTACAGAAATTAGAAAACACTAATCTATACAGAGGCAACATGGAATTAAGGAGAAAGTGCACAACATCATTTATGCATATAATAGCACAGAAGCTAATGTGCACGTCTCAACACAGACATGTCAACATCTCAGCACTGGAACCTGAACTCTGAGTTCACGTCTTTGTCTCCTGCTGGATGTGAACACGTCGTGTTTCTCTGTGACGTCCTCGTCTGGATCTCTCCTCGTTCACTTCCTTTCTCAGAAGAGAAGCGTTGATGTGATATGAGCCTGTCTGAAGATCACACCTGCAGCGTTCCAGAGCTTCAGCTGAACATCTTCTTCAGCTTAGAGAAGAAGCTTCCCTCCTCTTCCTCCTCCTTCTTCTTCTGCTGCTGCTGGTGCTGCTGCTGCTGCTCTTCCTCCTGTGAGCTGGTGGACTTGGTGGGACCAGGACCTGAGGTGGTGCTGCCCTCTGCTGGACACAAACACACACTGCATCAGTTTAAATACTGCTGTGAGTCTCGTTACTACAACGGTGGACTGACCGCTGACCTGAAGACGGCTCCACGCCGTTCACCGACCCCTGGACGTCCGTCTCGTCTTCAGCATAACTTAGCAACAGAGAGCGCTGACGACGGGTCAACTTCCTGTAGCGACAGAGAGAGAGACAGACAGAGAGACGGACAGATAGAGAGAGAGAGAGACAGACAGACAGATAGAGAGACGGACAGATAGAGAGACGGACAGAT